GCTGACTCAGAGTCAGTTATTATTAGACACGTCTTATCACAGTGAGGAGGAAGGATCTCCTGTATCGCCTCACAGCAGCGGGTTGATAGTCTGTTGCTGAAGCTGCTCTTTAGTTTGTCCAGTGTTTGTGTGTGTGTGTGTGGGGGGGCATCTCTCCTCCAGGGGACAAGCTTAGAGCCAACAACAGACTGGGCCTCTTTAATGAGTTTGAAATAAACTATGACATCATATTAATTTACCAACGTCAGTGAGAAATAAAAGTAATATATTAACACTTTTTTAAAAATCATTCTGACTTTATTAAAGTATAGTTATATATTATAATGCTATAATTACACACATATTTATATATATATTATATATATATATATATGCATATTTATTGTATTTGTATATATTTATTAATATATATTTATTTATTATTTATAGTTTAGAACACTACATTTTCCCTTCGAGGATAAATAAAGTATTTCTACATCTATCTACTATCCTATCTATCTATCTATCAATCTAAACGTCCGAATATGGACGTCATTTATTGACTTCATTAACTTACGTCATCAATAAAATAACTGTAATAAGTTGCTTCTGATGATTGCACTGGAGTGATCGATCATGATCAACCTCGGTATGAGTCTTCGCCGCGCTTTATGCTAATCACCTCGTGCGCGCGAGGCCGTTGGAGGAGCTGAGCGCGCGCCGGGCAGCAGTTTCCAGCATGCGCTCGTTGAACCGACCGTCAGGTGAGCTCCGGTCGGTCCGTCGGTTCCTTGCCGCCCTGCTCGGATCAGATCTCCCGGTTCTCCTCCGGACCCAGACGGTCTCAGCTCCGGATCCGGTCCCAGTCCCTGCTGCTGCTCCGGTACCCGGGTTCAGACCTGCTTCTCCGCGACTCTTTCTTCTCTTTTGGAGTTTCGTCTCCGGGTCCGTTGCTTGGGTCCGGGTCCCGTTTTAGACATGGGTTGGACTGTGGTGGTCCCGGTGTCTGCTGTCAATCAAGCTGGGTTGGACTCACGGTGGGAGTCCCCGGACGGACCGGACGTTCAAGGTAACGGACTGACCTGATACCTGATCCAGAGTTGAATTAACCGCAATTATTCTTAATGAGTCTAATCTGAATATCGATCCCTGAATATTGATCCTGAAACCAGAGATGATGTCTCCGATTGTGGTGAAACTCTGAATCCAATTTAACGTCATTAATGGAACAAACGGTACTTCATCCACACAGTGGGAAATACTCAGTACTCAGATTACTCAGATTTAGATTACTCAGATGTACTCAGATTAGTACTCAGATTACTCAGATTACTCAGATAGTACTCAGATTACTCAGATTAGTACTCAGATTACTCAGATTAGTACTCAGATTACTCAGAGTGGTGCATTCAGGTGTCTTTGATTATTTGTTATTTGTTGAATAAACTGTTATTAAATCATTATTACTGGAGCTGTTTATTATCTTTATTATGATTGGACAGGTTGGTTGCCATGGTTACTGTGAGACGATCAGCAACAGGAAGTGATTATCAGCTGTCTTGTTATTCTTCCTCTGTGGTGTTTCTGTATTCTGCAGTAACAGCTGTACACCTGATCAATAATACAGTTTGACTTATTACATATCAATTAACTTTCAAATACAACAATATGTCAGTTATTGAACAGTGTCACCTGTAACCGTAGCAACAGCCAGTTATCGACCAGAACCAACAACGTCCCCTGTAACCGTGGTAACAGTTATCAGTATCTCATTCCCCCCTCTCGTCCTGTTCCTCCTCAGTGATTGACGTGTTGAGTCTGCAGGACTCGAAGCAGAGCGTGGCGGCGGTGGAGAAACTGTCGGGAGGTCTGAGCGCGCTCAGTGACGTCTACGCGGTGTCAACGTTGCGGCTGCCGCCGAAGTTGGGCGGAGTCCTGCTGGGTCTCTACAGCAAACAGGACAACAGGAAGTACCTGGAGCTCGCCGTCATGGGGAAGATCAATAAAGGTTGTACATTTAACTTCAAACTTTATTTAAAAGTTCAGTGGACAGTGGAACGTTCTTCCTCTCGTTTCCACCCAGTCTGCTGGTCTCTGCTGGTCCTGTTGTTGACTATAATCTGAGCCACTTTCAGTTTGACCTCTAACCTCCAGCTGTCTGACCAGTGTTTAGGTTGTCTGATCACTTTATTGATTAGTTCTTTATTCCTCCTGCTATCCTCACATTCATCACTTTATACTGATATGGCACTAAAATAGAGAATAAGAACATAATAAATATATTATATATATATATAATATATAACTCTTCACTCTTCAGGGATGGAGACTGATTTTATTGATCCAAATACCATAATCCATTCTGGGTTCCATTAGAGCTGCAAACTATCAAGGTGCAGGTGACAGTTTGGGATACTAAGATTTTACTGATGCCAATACCATTATTGATTCTGCTTATCAGTTTGATTCTGTATTGATTCTCTGACTCCTGCCTACACGGGTTTTCAGTGTCACTGCGTCGGTGGAGAATCGCTGCGTTACTTTTGTTCTGATTATTTAAATCGGCCTCAGAGAGGAACCGGGTTGTTAAAGTCAGGAACGTCCTCTCTCTCTTCATCCGCTGTACTCTCACTCTGTCAATACTGGATATTCTGTTTATGCTGATGACGTGATGTGATCCGGTCCTGAACCCGCACTGGGATTTAGGAGCGGTTTGCTTTCAGTCAGCTGGAAACTGAAACTGATTTCCTTTTTGCACTTTCAGTCTTGGTCCGTTACGTCCGAGCCGACGGGAAGATCCACACGGTCAACCTGCAGAACGCCAACCTGGCCGACGGCCGCACCCACTCCATCATCCTGAGGCTGGGCGGTCTCCAGCGCGAGCACCTGCACATGGAGCTTTACGTGGACTGCCGACTGGCCGACTCCAGCCAGGGCCTGCCGCCGCTGGTCCCGCTGCCCAGAGAGGCCGACATGGTGGAGATCAGACACGGACAGAAGGCCTACGCCCGACTGCAGGTCAGTCAGCAGTTACACACTTATCTGATCCCAGAATCCACCAGGATGTAGTTTGTTCACATTATCACCTGTGTACAGGTGTGATCAGATCTCTGTGTCCTCTCTCCGTCAGGGTGCAGTGGAGTCCCTCAGACTGGCTCTAGGTGGCAGCGTTGCTAAAGCTGGAGCTCTGACGGACTGTCCGTTCCAGGGAGACTCATCAGCCTACAACTCAGGTCAGCTCACATCAACATTTCACTGGAACCTCAGCCACTGATGACAGGAGTCTGATGTGGTCTGACGTGGTCTGACGTGGTGGGGGTCAGGTTATGGTTCTGGGATTGGGGTCAGGACTAATGTAGTGTTCATGTCATATATGGGAGCTATTATAAACACAGATTCTGACTGATATAAACAGCCTCAACATGTAAGAAAGCTATTGAATTATGGGCTGATTTTTGTGTCAGGTCCTCCTCCTCTGTCTTTTTCTCGGGATCAACCAACAGTCACCTCCTGCTGTTGGGTTCATTGCAGCGTCCTCAAAAGCTTTATCGATGGTTTTTACCCACTACCAAAGATTTTATTTTGTAGCTCCATTCATTACGGCGTTCATGCCTGATGTTCTTAAAGGTGTCTCACTGTCAGTATGTTAATGTGTCATGTGTTGTTGGAAAATGTATTCCTCTCGATGGTCTCGCACAGCTTGGTTCTCTGAACCTCGACTGACTGATGCTGTACTAAATTCGATTGTATACAGGCTGGAGTGTCCCAATTCAGGGCTGAATCCAAACGTCCTCATGCAGCGTCAGTGTAAATTATAATGCTGGAGTTAATTCTGCAGGTTTCCAGATAGACGTGGAGGTCACAATGAGGAGTTCCTCAGGGATCAATGTTTCTAGAGTACCCCGTAATCCCTGGTTCTCCTTAATTTATATTCCAGTGATTACTTCTTCATCACTCTGTTCATACTTGTGAGCATTAAATATACTCTTCTAGTTTTCTCTCTCTTTGATAGCCCTGACTACCATGAGATGACTGATCTTTATAGTCCTACTCCAAGTTCTCTGCCCTAAAAGACTCTGCCTAGCTAGTTATTTGTTTCCATATTCGATAGATATTGCTGGTTAAGCCATGTACAATGTCGGTACTTATAGTACATTTCGAGGGTGTAATTTGCTGTAATTAGGATTTATAGTTCTCGCGCTCCTGTTATAATTACATGGGCATATGGGTTGTTTCAGACCCCCACGGAATAACTTCCCAAACCTTCACTGAAACTAATCCCTGGCGGCACCTGATTGATATGATGATACACGTTAAATAGTTCCTTGATTAAGCTGGCCTACAAAGCTCGTGGCAGCTCCCTGAACAGGAGTTTAAACGTTTTGTCTTCTCTTGCGAGCTGTGCAGCACCTGAGAAGAGACTCTTCCTCCATCCACTAAGTGTTACTTAGGTTATTAGGGACAGTAAAATCTTTATAGGTACAACAGTTTTCTAGGTACTACGAGTATTAAACTGTCATTTCTAGTACTACAGTATTATACTGTCTTTTTATATGTATACAAGTATTTAAAACTGTCTTGTAATAGTTCTACTTTTCAATAATGTATACTTAATTATATATGTGTCGGTTTACCAAAATAAAACTTTTTTATTTTTCTCTTTTTTTTCGTAGAGACGTCTCTGCGCTCCCTGCAGTTCATGTGTAGCAGTTATCCCGACGCTTTTCACAACCACCCTCACCGAAGAATTAGAGGTTCCCAGAAGTTGGTTTCTAAAATTCATGGTGGTCAATTCCTACAGTTTGGTATATTTACTGCTGAAGCCTTCCAGAATGTCGTGGAGAGGGACTAATTAAAAATGCAGAGATCTTACTCCTCCATAGACATTGAGCGGCTTTTCAAATAGAAGGCAGGACGACTCTAAGACCCGAACTCCCTTTATTAGAACTAACACGTAAGATTGGGGTTGTATGGGTGGGAGAGCGATCGTGCAATGAGATCGACTTCTCATGGAATCCTATGTGCTAAGACAGTAAGGAAGAAGCGCTTTAGAGAGCAAGCGTCTATCAGTCGGTCCTACAACAAAGGGTCAGCCCTGGGTCGTCCTCCTCCGGGCGCCTGCTGTACACATTCATGACGCTGCAACTTCCTCAGAGGACAGTAGTTACCAAGCTTCATTCAGGGTCTCCCTGTCACCAATGATAGAGGAGTTCACAGGAGTTCATAGTCGTTTCCTGTTGTAGTCAGGGTAGGTTCAGGTTACAAAGAAAGAATGACTTCACAAGTACACTCTCAGACAACTGCGCGCATAGGTAATAGAAGATGTTTGTCTCCCCTTCCTCGTAGCTAGAGACACAAATCTTCTTTCTTTTCTGTTTCTGATTCTCTCACTTCGAATCTTGTCTAGCAGAACTATTAGATAATAGTTTGAACAGAGTAAATCCTCGATTATAATTTTTTAAATTATCACATCAACTATGTGTCAAAACAAGAAAGTAGGAACATAATGTCTACACCTCATCAACTACATCATAATTCAAAAAATGAAAATAAATAAGATAAAGACGGTAAGCGTGTGTGGGTGTAAGGGAAGAGATAGGAAAAAGATAAGATGACAGATAGGACAGACAAGGATAGAATATAAATAATAGAAATAAAATATTATAAACAAAAATCTGTAATATTCATATTAAACGATCAGCACTAAACAAAGAGATAGATGTAGGTAGAGTTTGTGTTTAGCAAGAGAGAGAATAAATAAATAATAATATTAAAATTTAAAAGAGCAGGCATAAGATAAAAAAGTGCTAACCACGTGTGTTGTGTTTATAGTAATACTAATAAGTTAAAAGAAAAAAAAAATGTATTTAATAAAAAAAATACTTTGTGTTTTGGGTAGTTTCTTTCCCAGTATCAATATATTTTTTCTTTTTGCCTTGGTTGATAATTTGGTTTGGTCTGCTTGAGGTTTGGTGTTTCTGTCTTGAGGCTGTTGGGGACATGTTACTGCAGCCAGCCTCAGGACCAGCTGGCTAGGGGACTCTTCTCTGGTTTCAGCTCCCTCGTAATGTTAGGGCTCTGTGATGGTATTCTGGGGTTAACTGATTTGAAGTGATTGTAAATGGAATTGATCTTTTCTGTATTTTTAGTAGGAGGGGATTGGTTATCTGTCTGTCTGTCTGTCTCTCCAGTCTGATGCTTCAATCTTTCCTGTCTGTCTGTCTGTCTCTCTGTCTCCCTCAGTCTGTCTCTCTCTCTATTATAAATATAGCCTGCCGATCGTGACTGATGTATAGAACGCTGAACTCTCTAGTGTCTAAATTCCAAAGATACGTTGAAAGTCTGTACTCTACAGCATGCGTGATTCAGTCACGCTCGTCTGCGCTCTACCGGTCAGCTTCGCCGGGGAAATAGGGGTCGACTCTGCTCTACCACGTCCTGTCTCTCTCTCTCTCTCTGTCCTGTCCTCTCTGTCTGTCGGCTGTACACCCTTTTGTTTAGGACCGCTGAATCAGACTTCGCCTCTCAAGCAGGTCTATCTCTTGAACATGAAGTTCTGATATGCATGGTCGTAGGTATACTTAAATTCAGTTCGCCTCTCGTTCGAGGAGTTCGGTTCTAGACCGTGGCTCTATTTTCTGATAATGATCGTCGTTCGGCGATACGCGATATGACTTCTGTTAGCGAATCTCGGAGCTTCATGCACAAATTAACACTAAGCTTACATTTCGAAATTTGCACTTTCACATAACTTTGATATTTGTGAGGTGTTTTTAAAAGGTCTTGAAGGAGCGCGCGTGCGCTATGGGAGCTGTAAAGACGCTCCCTTCTACAAAAATAACAAAAATCTCAAAAATAAGCTCTCTTTTATCTTTTATATAGAAGATTCTACTTATCTGATTCTAATGCTTCATTATACTTAAGAAAAGGGTCACTGCTACTACTCATCAGATCAGTTTCTTAATACTGTAGTTACCTACTCAAAGACAGTTTTTAATACTGTGAGTACTAGAAAGAGCAAGTTTAATTACTCGTTGGTTTATCGTCAGTAAAAGCTGTAGTTACTATAACCTGAAAGATCAAGCTTGCGCTCCCCTAATAGCGGGGTAACTCCTCATACATAATAGACAGCCTAGAGAGAGAGTGGGGAAGTCACGTCTCTTCGTCCCAGTTCATAGCACGGAGTCGTTAGAGTGAAACGTCTCATCATCCTTCAATCACTCGCACCGAACTGTCTGTAAAACTCTGTTCGGAGCTGCAGATGGCTATGTTTTTCCTGTAGGCCAGTTATATCAGCTGACATGCCTATGTAATTCTGCGTATTTCCTCCGATCTCTCCATATTACTCGACACTCAGTCCGCCAGGTCATTAGTTCTTCAGTCGAAGTTCTGGTCAAGTTTCTATTCCGTGGGTTGAACAACCATATTTGGCTGTTTAAGCGATTTACAGAACGGAATATAATCAATACAGTTAGCATCTGAAAATGTTTTAAGTTCGGCTTGTTGGCTTTATTCTGGAATGATCCTGCTAGGAATGCACTCTTTTACGCGCGCGCAAGCACTGTAGGTCAATATAAAAGGATCTACCGTGATTGGGAGTCGTCTGCAAATATAAACGAACTAAGAATTATTCTGGTCATACTGAGAGAGACTACTTTCTGGTCGATAATCGCTCTCCGTCTTCACTGATACTTCTAAAATCTTAAGGAGAACAGTCCGGCGTCCTAAAACATTGATCCCTGAGGAACTCCTGAATTGACCACCTCTATACGTGAACCTCAGAGATAATCCAGATTATAATTTCACTGACGCCGGCTGGTCTCTTCGTCTCTCTCTTCCTTCGGCCTAGGAGGGTACGTTTGGTGATCTGTCTTGGTCTGTCTCTCAGTCTGTCTCAAACCTTGCTCTCCTGATGTCCTTCGTAGTTCTCCAGGATCTGGGTTGAAAGATTTTATGATTGTTGACCCAATCGAGCTTTGGTGGTGATCAACTTGACAGGAAGACCACCAACAGGACCGCATCAGTGGCAGGAGGAAACTGATCAGCATCTGGTACTGATTACTGTAAATAGATTACTGTAACTGATGTACTGCTAAATAGATCTACTGTTACGTGATTACTGTAAATAAGAAATTACTATTATTGATGACTGTTGAATAGATTAGCTGTAATGAGATTAATGTAATAGATTACTGGTAACTAGATTACAGTCAGTGTTAAACTCACCCAGGCGTGGAGTTGCGTCCTGGCTTACTGTGAATGAGAAGGATATTCAGAGGTCAGTTACTGTCAATGGTATCACAGCAGGTTATTGATCACAGCTGGTTATTGATCACATCAGGTTATTGATCACAGCTGGTATTGACACAGCTGGTTTATTGATCACATCAGGTTATTGATCACATCAGGTTATTGATAACATCATCAAACACTCCACACGTTAAAATTACAGTAACATTATAATGGATTAATTAAAATAACTGCAAACAGCAGATTCTGGACCAACTGTTAGGTTTGTTTTCAGATTATTTAATTTCATTTATTTAAATTCGGTAAATGGGCATGATTTGTGTTTTAGTAGAACTGAATTTGGAATTGTTTAACTTGGAATTTGTATTGTTTAATTGAATAACTTGTAGTGAAAAACTGAATCTGATAGATAATTTGGAAATTTGAATTTATTAGTTTGAACTGAATTCCCAATAAACCTGAACTGAATATCAATATATATGAATCTGAATTCACTTGCAACTGAAACTTGTAGTTGAGCCCTCACTAAAAATTCAACTTTTTTTATGTACTTTCACTTTCAGCCCTTCTCTTAATTCAAATTCCAGTTTCTAAATTAAATTTCAATCCACATGCGTTTTTTTCACTTTTAAGTTCAGCAGAACGGTCACGGTCGTTCAGTGAGAGCGATCAGTTTTTCGAATTCAAATTATGATATTCAGATTCAAGTTTTTTTAAATGCAATTATTTCAAGTTGAGCAATTCAGATTCAGTTCTAATGATTCAAATTCAGTTTTCTACC